ACTCTTAACCCCCCTGAATGGTAAATTTGGCCATGGGAAACTTTTCATGTCTTGCAGCCTCGAGCATGGTGGAAATGGCCAAGGGACGGCAGGGCTCCGAAGATTTCGCCCGCGGCCTGGATCTCCTTCTGGGCGAGTTTGCCTTCCCAGAAGAATTTGTCGCCGAAGTCTGGAGAACCATCTGCGAGGCTAAGGGGAGCCCCAAGTAGAGGCGAAGATCTTCTGTCTCTCCATCCTTATCTGTCTTCCGCTAGGGCTTCCTGCGCCTCTTATCCCAGCCGGTTTTTTCAAGGTCTTTGGTTTCCATCCAGACACACAAACTCGTTTTCCTCTTTCTTTTTTTAAGAAAGGAAAGAAAAGCGGAATTAATCTGCAGCTCTCGTTTGTTCGGTTTTTTAAAGAAGCGCCCACCTCATACCCTCCGATGAAAACAGGGACGTCCTATTCCATAATAATACAGTGGTACCTCAGGTTAAGTACTTAATTCGTTCCGGAGGTCCGTTCTTAACCTGAAACTGTTCTTGACCTGAAGCACCACTTTAGCTAATGGGGCCTCCCGCTGCCGCCGCACGATTTCTGTTCTCATCCTGAAGCAAAGTTCTTAACCTGAAGCTCTATTTCTGGGTGAGCGGAGTCTGTAACCTGAAGCGTCTGTAACCTGAGGTACCACTGAAATAGTAATAGTTTTATTATCTATACCCCGGCTGAGTTGCCCCAGCTACTCTGGGCAACTTCCATCATATATAAAAACATAATAAAACGTGAAACTTTTAAAACTTCCCTGTACAGGGCTGCCTTCAGATGTCTTCTAAAGGTTTTCGAGTTACTTATCTCCTTGGCTCAGGGGTCGCATAACTCCACCCCCTCCAACGTTTCTCCCCTGAAAATAGGGATATCCTATTCCATCCCCTCCAATGTTTCTCCCCTGAAAATAGGGACGTCCTGTTCCATCCCCTCCAACGTTTCTCCCCTGAAAATAGGGACGTCCTGTTCCATCCCCTCCAACGTTTATCCCCTGAAAATAGGGATGTCCTATTCCATCCCCTCCAACGTTTCTCCCCTGAAAAGAGGGATGTCCTATTCCATCCTCTCCAACATTTCTCCCCTGAAAATAGGGACGTCCTATTCCATCCCCTCCAACGTTTCTCCCCTGAAAATAGGGACGTCCTATTCCATCCCCTCCAATGTTTCTCCCCTGAAAATAGGGACGTCCTGTTCCATCCCCTCCAACGTTTCTCCCCTGAAAATAGGGACGTCCTATTCCATCCCCTCCAACGTTTCTCCCTGAAAAGAGGGATATCCTATTCCATCCTCTCCAACATTTCTCCCCTGAAAATAGGGACGTCCTATTCCATCCCCTCCAACGTTTCTCCCCTGAAAAGAGGGATGTCCTATTCCATCCCCTCCAATGTTTCTCCCCTGAAAATAGGGATGTCCTATTCCATCCCCTCCAACGTTTCTCCCCTGAAAAGAGGGATGTCCTATTCCATCCTCTCCAACATTTCTCCCCTGAAAATAGGGACGTCCTATTCCATCCCCTCCAACGTTTCTCCCCTGAAAATAGGGACGTCCTATTCCATCCCCTCCAATGTTTCTCCCGTGAAAATAGGGATGTCCTATTCCATCCCCTCCAACGTTTCTCCTGTGAAAATAGGGACGTCCTATTCCATCCCCTCCAACATTTCTCCCATGAAAAGGGGGACCAAATCTGGGACCAAATCGGAAACTGGGGTGGCTTTTGAAAATCCAGGACTGTCCCTTGAATATAGGAGGGCCTGAGATCTTCTCTGGAAGGCTGTGGTTGGCTTTGCTGATCAATGCATTTTTTCCATCCCAATGCCTGCAACACAAACATTCCCACAAAGGAGATGTATGTCCCACATACACCCCCAAAATGGACCTCCACGGACCACCTTATTTTGTGAGGCTCCCCACACCCCGTGCTCAGGTCTACATGGACCCGAACCTCAGCCCGATCGCTCACAAGTCCTGTTTTTTTTTTGCAGCAAAGCTTCACGTTAATGACAAACCAGCATCGTAATAATAATAAAAAAGTTAACGTCAGCACTAATTTTCTCACCTTCCGGAAGTCAACTCTCCTGCCTTGCCTGCGATGTACATAAAGTTTTGTTTATCTTCCGTTGGTTTGTTTTTGAAATAATTAAAAAGTTATTTAAAAACCATTCCTTTTTTTAAAAAAAAGAAAAAAAGGGGAGGAATCGTTTCTTCAAGGGCAGTACGGCTCAGTAGGCAGAGAACCCGCCGTGCGTGCAAAAGGTCCCGGGTGCAAGATAGAGCATTTCCCAGGAAGGTTCGGAGAGATGCGTTGGAAAACCCGGAGAGCAGCTGCCGGTCCGTGCAGACAGCCTTGGGCCACATGGACTGGTGGTTTTCTTTGGCAAATGAAATTTGGTTGCCAAGAGCTCCACGCAGCTTCCCAAGTCTCGCTCCTCTCCAGGGCTGTTCCCAAGCAATCGGAGACTGCGCCCGTGTGAACCTGACCTTCCCCTCCACTCTTTTCATGCCGCTCTTGATTCTGGGAGACAAGCAGGGAGGGGAGCTGGTCACAGCAGGAGGGGGAGACCTCCTTGCCTCTCCCCCAGCCGGACTCATCTCTGCCTCTTGGCCTCCCTCTATTCACAACCATGAGGTCTAGCAACTTGCACCGCCTTCCCCATCCATTCTTCCCTTTGAGGTCGGGAGCCCAGGGATTCTGAGCTGCATGCTGGGATGTGCTTGTGCGTGCCCCAAATAACAATAATAATAATAATAATAATAATAATAATAATAATAATAATAATAATTTATTTTATACCCTGCCCATCTGGCTGGGCTTCCCCAGCCACTCTGGGCAGCTTCCCAAAAAATATTAAAATACTGCAATACATCAAACATTAAAAGCTTCCCTAAACAGGGCTGCCTTCAGATGTCTTCTAAAAGTCTGGTAGTTGTTGTTCTCTTTGACATCTGCTGGGAGGGCGTTCCACAGGGCGGGCGCCACCACCGAGAAGGCCCTCTGCCTGGTTCCCTGTAACTTGGCTTCTCGCAGTGAGGGAACCGCCAGAAGGCCCTCGGAACTGGACCTCAGCGTCCGGGCAGAACGATGGGGGTGGAGACGCTCCTTCAGATATACTGGACCAAGACCAAACTCCAGCTTAAGTGCCTTCGTTACGGCGACGAGGGGACAAACCCTAAACCGTTATGAGGAGGGAACCGGCAACAAATCACCCTGTTCAAATTGGAGTTGACTCTTTATTAGCAAGAGCGCGATCCACACGGACTTGGCGGGCTGTCAGGCCTAATGAGCACAGCAGCTCGTCCCCTGTAGGTCTTGCCCCATGGATCAGTTGCCAAGGCTGAAAATCCCCGCTCCCCACAGCCGTCTTAACTCCCCTCCTCTCCAGGGTTTTCCCCATGCAATCGGAGACGGCGCCAGCCAGAAGCCAACCTAACCTCCGCCCTTTTTCATGCCGCTTCTGGTTCTGCGAGACTGGGGAGCTTGTGGCAGCAGGAGGCGGAGACCCCCTTGCCTCTTCCCCAGCCAGACGCCTCTCTGCCTCTTGGACTCCATCCTCCTCTCCTGCGTCCGCTTCTGCCTCCGAGTCTGGACTGCTCTCTGCCACAGACTCTTCCCCGCTCACAAAGCCCTGATGCCTCTTCGGTTTCCAATACCTCCTCCCCCCAGTCTTCTCCCTCTGACCACTCGCTGTCATCCCATCACCAATCCCCGGCCTCTGAGCCTCCGCAGCTTCCCAAACCCTTCCTCTGCAGGGCTTTCCCCAAGCAATCGGAGACTGCGCCCGTTTGCAGCCAACCTTCCCTCCGCCCTTTTCATGCCTCTCCTGGTTCTGGGAGACGAGGGGAGCAGGCAGGAGGGGGAGACCCCCTCTTCTTCAGCAGCTTGGCCCCAGTGAAAGGAGCTTCCCCTCCTTTCCAGTCTCTGCTTCCGCCTCTGATTCTGGACTGCTCTCTGGCACAGAATCTCCCCGCTCACTAAGCCCGGTTCCCTCTTCCGACACCTCCTCTTCCAGCCTTCTCCCTCTGATCACTCGCTGTCGTCCCACCACCCATCCCTGGGCTCTGAGCCTTCTTCCCTTGGGGGTCCCCTATGCTTCTCCCCCCCCCCCATTCCTCTGCGCCCAACCGGCACCTCGTCTCAGAAAAACAACCACCACCAATGACCACAGGCAGGAGATCCCACAGGCTTTATTACGGCAACAATTACACATGCACAAATCCATGCAGTTGTGTTGCTCCCTCTTCCCACAACGATCCAGGGACCCCCCCAATTCTGGCTGCAGGATACAGAGCGTCCATTCGCCACCCACAATGTCTGTCGGAAAGACAAGCGCACCGTCCACTCGTCCTGTCCCTAAGTGAGCGTTCAGGCTCGATGCGCCCGTTTTTAAACATGCTATATTTTTGGCGCCACCAACAAAACATAGGGAGAAGAGCTTTGGGGCTCAGGATCAGATGCCGAGGGGGGCGCAGGATGAGGCAGAGAGGGCATGCATGTATGTGTCTGTCGCCACCCTGGGACCCAGAGGGCGCGATGTGGGAGGTCAACAGCAAGGGGCGCCAGAGCCAACGGGAGGAAGAGCCGGTGAATTCTACTTCCCACTGCGATCGAAATGATTCAACCTCCCCATTCCAAATCAGGTTTCTTATCAAAAGTTTTAATGGGACGTGGGTGGAGCTGTGGTCTAAACCACAGAGCCTAGGGCTTGCCGATCAGAAGGTTGGCGGTTCGAATCCCCGCAATGACGGGGTGAGCTCCCGTTGCTCGGTCCCTGCTCCTACCCACCTAGCAGTTCGAAAGCACGTCAAAGTGCAAGTAGATAAATAGGTACCGCTCCGGCGGGAAGGTAAACGGCGTTTCCGTGCGCTGCTCTGGTTCGCCAGAAGCGGCTTAGTCCTGCTGGCCACATGACCCGGAAGCTGTACGCCGGCTCCCTCGGCCAGTAAAGCGAGATGAGCGCCGCAACCCCAGAGTCGG